TTAAATGGCCTGAGGGTGAGTAAATTGTTTTTAATATTTGAGTGAACTATTCTTTTAAAACTATAATCAATGATAAGGAAGAACTCTATACTGTTTTGTAGACAGAACAGGAGCCTGCTGTCCGATGCCCCTGTTGGATTGATTTTGAGTTGCACTTGCACTCCTATGAGGTGCATCTTTGGTTGTAATGACACAACTGGTCATGTGATATAAATATGACGATGCCCGTGAGGGGGCAACCCGCTCCATGTAGAATAAAATAGCTTCCCTTTCATGGGAACTTCGAACTGCGTCCTCTAGGGGTCGCTATGGGGAACGCCTCGTCGTGACTCGTATCTGAAGCATACATTGAAAAAAACACCAACTCGTTGGCCGGCGACAGCCATGACGTCACTACCGGTGCGACTACAGTATAAATCGGTGCCGGGAGCTACACATCATTCACTTCTTCGTCTGAAGCTTGCGTCCGCAGCATGGCAAGAAACCTAGAGGACGCAGTGTCTCGTTCCCTACTCAGGGAACCATGGTTACATAAGTAACCCGAGACGTTCCCTTTCATGGGAACTTCGAACTGCGTCCTCTAGGGGTCGCTATGGGGAACGCCTCGTCGTGACTCGTATCTGAAGCATACATTGAAAAAAACACCAACTCGTTGGCCGGCGACAGCCATGACGTCACTACCGGTGCGACTACAGTATAAATCGGTGCCGGGAGCTACACATCATTCACTTCTTCGTCTGAAGCTTGCGTCCGCAGCATGGCAAGAAACCTAGAGGACGCAGTGTCTCGTTCCCTACTCAGGGAACCATGGTTACATAAGTAACCCGAGACGTTCCCTTTCATGGGAACTTCGAACTGCGTCCTCTAGGGGTCGCTATGGGGAACGCCTCGTCGTGACTCGTATCTGAAGCATACATTGAAAAAAACACCAACTCGTTGGCCGGCGACAGCCATGACGTCACTACCGGTGCGACTACAGTATAAATCGGTGCCGGGAGCTACACATCATTCACTTCTTCGTCTGAAGCTTGCGTCCGCAGCATGGCAAGAAACCTAGAGGACGCAGTGTCTCGTTCCCTACTCAGGGAACCATGGTTACATAAGTAACCCGAGACGTTCCCTTTCATGGGAACTTCGAACTGCGTCCTCTAGGGGTCGCTATGGGGAACGCCTCGTCGTGACTCGTATCTGAAGCATACATTGAAAAAAACACCAACTCGTTGGCCGGCGACAGCCATGACGTCACTACCGGTGCGACTACAGTATAAATCGGTGCCGGGAGCTACACATCATTCACTTCTTCGTCTGAAGCTTGCGTCCGCAGCATGGCAAGAAACCTAGAGGACGCAGTGTCTCGTTCCCTACTCAGGGAACCATGGTTACATAAGTAACCCGAGACGTTCCCTTTCATGGGAACTTCGAACTGCGTCCTCTAGGGGTCGCTATGGGGAACGCCTCGTCGTGACTCGTATCTGAAGCATACATTGAAAAAAACACCAACTCGTTGGCCGGCGACAGCCATGACGTCACTACCGGTGCGACTACAGTATAAATCGGTGCCGGGAGCTACACATCATTCACTTCTTCGTCTGAAGCTTGCGTCCGCAGCATGGCAAGAAACCTAGAGGACGCAGTGTCTCGTTCCCTACTCAGGGAACCATGGTTACATAAGTAACCCGAGACGTTCCCTTTCATGGGAACTTCGAACTGCGTCCTCTAGGGGTCGCTATGGGGAACGCCTCGTCGTGACTCGTATCTGAAGCATACATTGAAAAAAACACCAACTCGTTGGCCGGCGACAGCCATGACGTCACTACCGGTGCGACTACAGTATAAATCGGTGCCGGGAGCTACACATCATTCACTTCTTCGTCTGAAGCTTGCGTCCGCAGCATGGCAAGAAACCTAGAGGACGCAGTGTCTCGTTCCCTACTCAGGGAACCATGGTTACATAAGTAACCCGAGACGTTCCCTTTCATGGGAACTTCGAACTGCGTCCTCTAGGGGTCGCTATGGGGAACGCCTCGTCGTGACTCGTATCTGAAGCATACATTGAAAAAAACACCAACTCGTTGGCCGGCGACAGCCATGACGTCACTACCGGTGCGACTACAGTATAAATCGGTGCCGGGAGCTACACATCATTCACTTCTTCGTCTGAAGCTTGCGTCCGCAGCATGGCAAGAAACCTAGAGGACGCAGTGTCTCGTTCCCTACTCAGGGAACCATGGTTACATAAGTAACCCGAGACGTTCCCTTTCATGGGAACTTCGAACTGCGTCCTCTAGGGGTCGCTATGGGGAACGCCTCGTCGTGACTCGTATCTGAAGCATACATTGAAAAAAACACCAACTCGTTGGCCGGCGACAGCCATGACGTCACTACCGGTGCGACTACAGTATAAATCGGTGCCGGGAGCTACACATCATTCACTTCTTCGTCTGAAGCTTGCGTCCGCAGCATGGCAAGAAACCTAGAGGACGCAGTGTCTCGTTCCCTACTCAGGGAACCATGGTTACATAAGTAACCCGAGACGTTCCCTTTCATGGGAACTTCGAACTGCGTCCTCTAGGGGTCGCTATGGGGAACGCCTCGTCGTGACTCGTATCTGAAGCATACATTGAAAAAAACACCAACTCGTTGGCCGGCGACAGCCATGACGTCACTACCGGTGCGACTACAGTATAAATCGGTGCCGGGAGCTACACATCATTCACTTCTTCGTCTGAAGCTTGCGTCCGCAGCATGGCAAGAAACCTAGAGGACGCAGTGTCTCGTTCCCTACTCAGGGAACCATGGTTACATAAGTAACCCGAGACGTTCCCTTTCATGGGAACTTCGAACTGCGTCCTCTAGGGGTCGCTATGGGGAACGCCTCGTCGTGACTCGTATCTGAAGCATACATTGAAAAAAACACCAACTCGTTGGCCGGCGACAGCCATGACGTCACTACCGGTGCGACTACAGTATAAATCGGTGCCGGGAGCTACACATCATTCACTTCTTCGTCTGAAGCTTGCGTCCGCAGCATGGCAAGAAACCTAGAGGACGCAGTGTCTCGTTCCCTACTCAGGGAACCATGGTTACATAAGTAACCCGAGACGTTCCCTTTCATGGGAACTTCGAACTGCGTCCTCTAGGGGTCGCTATGGGGAACGCCTCGTCGTGACTCGTATCTGAAGCATACATTGAAAAAAACACCAACTCGTTGGCCGGCGACAGCCATGACGTCACTACCGGTGCGACTACAGTATAAATCGGTGCCGGGAGCTACACATCATTCACTTCTTCGTCTGAAGCTTGCGTCCGCAGCATGGCAAGAAACCTAGAGGACGCAGTGTCTCGTTCCCTACTCAGGGAACCATGGTTACATAAGTAACCCGAGACGTTCCCTTTCATGGGAACTTCGAACTGCGTCCTCTAGGGGTCGCTATGGGGAACGCCTCGTCGTGACTCGTATCTGAAGCATACATTGAAAAAAACACCAACTCGTTGGCCGGCGACAGCCATGACGTCACTACCGGTGCGACTACAGTATAAATCGGTGCCGGGAGCTACACATCATTCACTTCTTCGTCTGAAGCTTGCGTCCGCAGCATGGCAAGAAACCTAGAGGACGCAGTGTCTCGTTCCCTACTCAGGGAACCATGGTTACATAAGTAACCCGAGACGTTCCCTTTCATGGGAACTTCGAACTGCGTCCTCTAGGGGTCGCTATGGGGAACGCCTCGTCGTGACTCGTATCTGAAGCATACATTGAAAAAAACACCAACTCGTTGGCCGGCGACAGCCATGACGTCACTACCGGTGCGACTACAGTATAAATCGGTGCCGGGAGCTACACATCATTCACTTCTTCGTCTGAAGCTTGCGTCCGCAGCATGGCAAGAAACCTAGAGGACGCAGTGTCTCGTTCCCTACTCAGGGAACCATGGTTACATAAGTAACCCGAGACGTTCCCTTTCATGGGAACTTCGAACTGCGTCCTCTAGGGGTCGCTATGGGGAACGCCTCGTCGTGACTCGTATCTGAAGCATACATTGAAAAAAACACCAACTCGTTGGCCGGCGACAGCCATGACGTCACTACCGGTGCGACTACAGTATAAATCGGTGCCGGGAGCTACACATCATTCACTTCTTCGTCTGAAGCTTGCGTCCGCAGCATGGCAAGAAACCTAGAGGACGCAGTGTCTCGTTCCCTACTCAGGGAACCATGGTTACATAAGTAACCCGAGACGTTCCCTTTCATGGGAACTTCGAACTGCGTCCTCTAGGGGTCGCTATGGGGAACGCCTCGTCGTGACTCGTATCTGAAGCATACATTGAAAAAAACACCAACTCGTTGGCCGGCGACAGCCATGACGTCACTACCGGTGCGACTACAGTATAAATCGGTGCCGGGAGCTACACATCATTCACTTCTTCGTCTGAAGCTTGCGTCCGCAGCATGGCAAGAAACCTAGAGGACGCAGTGTCTCGTTCCCTACTCAGGGAACCATGGTTACATAAGTAACCCAAGACGTTTTTTAAAATTTATTTATTTAAAAAAAATATTTTTCTAGAAGAGTGATATGCCTGGAAACGTCATCTCAGGTTGAGTTTTTCAAAGGTACTGTATGTATAAAACTTTCTCATTAGCAAAACGACTGCGTGCACCTTTAAGAGAGCAAAGCGCGTGACGCCCCACTGAAATGTCTCGGTAAACTTGGAAAATGACTTTTCTCATTACCTCGAGGGATTGAGATGGCCATGCTGACAGGCTGCATATATAAAGGAGAACAGCATGAACATGCTTATGCTCAACTGTGGAAGCAAAGCGCGCGGACCTGTGGCATTTAATTGCAACCTTTACGCAAAGGCGCTCTTCTGGACTGCCTCCTCAAGTGGATTGCTTTACTAGAAAAGATTGGAATATTTCGGAAATTAAAAATAAATAAATAATAAGTAAACGTATACAGCACACATTAATTTTACACTTATTTATGTGTGTGTGTGTGTGTGTGTTTATATTAATCTAATTATTTTTGCAGTCTGCACATTTTGTGTCTGTTAGTATAAAAACACCTGTCTTGGATTTTCAAGAAGCTCCCTAGTGATGATTTGATGAATTTTTCCTTATCTTTTTCATCCCAATGTCCGCACTAATCGCTGTCATGGAATCGTTTGGGTCTTCGGTCACCGAGTCTACCGACATCACCACACCGGACGATCCGTTCTCGGGTCCCCTCAAGTCTGTTGCGCCCTGGAATTACACTTTCCTCGCCTGTCTGATGTTCATAGTGACTTCACTGTCTATAACAGAGAACTTCGCCGTTATGCTTGTGACCTTTAGATTCAAACAGTTAAGGAAACCGTTGAATTACATCGTTGTTAATTTATCTGTTGCTGATTTTCTAGTTTCGCTGACAGGAGGCACTATAAGTTTTCTAACTAATGCACGAGGTTACTTCTTCCTGGGCGTCTGGGCGTGTGTGCTGGAGGGATTCGCTGTCACTTTTTTCGGTGAGTTATTATATAACAATACCGAGACGTGTAACATTTATTACTTTAAACGAAATAGTACATGTTATGCTAATAATACAATGTATTGTATTTATTTATTAGTACTCATTCCTTTGCTACTAGCCACTCCTAGTGACAATTCTATTCTTATTGGCAACAAATTGCATATTTTTGCCATTCTGTTTTGCTGTGGTATGTATTCCACTTGTTGCTGGTGTCTTTTATAGTTTTATTCTTAAAATACTTGGGATAGTGACTAAGTAACAAAGGAAAAATTAGTAAAAAAAAAAAACTACTAGCGACTAACTGAATAGATACAGTTGGATTACTTTCTTTCTTTGTTATTTATTTTTTGGCAGATTATTTATAATTTCTCTCTCTCTCTTTTTAAAATTTTTTTTTACAACAAATATAATGGTTCAAATTGGGTTACTATAGTAAAACAATGGTAAATGTGTGGTAACTATAGTTATTGTAGTAGATAGACCATGATCATTTTTCATCTATTTTCATCCATCCGTTCATTTTCCAAACCGCAGGGTTTTAGTTATACTGGAGCCCATCCCAGCATTTTAGGCCATAGTCAGGGAAACACCCTGGACAGATGGCCAGTGGTGAATTGTCATAAGTGTACTAGGCAATTAAATTTTAATAATTAAAAGGTAATTAAAGAGTACTAGTAACCTAAAAAAGATACTATCTAGTTTTACTGATGAATGTTAAAACAAAGCCCTGATTTCATGCATATTGTCTTTGTTTTACTAATCAGCACATTTCTTCTACGTAAGAAAATTTTTTGCTTTACTAAATTATAATTATGGCATAAAAAGTAGAAATTATGAAATGCAATATCATACTTGTGAGATATAAAGTTGAAATTATGACAAAAGTCAGCTTTTTTATCTCATCATTTAGACTTTTTATCTTCACCAAAGCATGATTTTTTTTCTTATGTGGTGGCTTAATGGCTTCCATATGCAATCAGGTAATCAGGGTCTTGTTTGAAATTGAGGGGTTGCCCCTCCCTGCAGTAAAAAGCCATTAGTTGTTCTTGTATCCCATGCTCATACCTTTTTATGTAAAATAATTGCGAGCTGGAATCTTATGAATTCATTTTAACAGTCATAATTACACAGACCTTCTGTTTTCATGTCTTGTTAAATGTCAGTACAGGTACATATTATATTACTGACTCAGCACAGTAATAATGGGTGTACTTTCTTGGTTTCTAGGAATTGTGGCTTTGTGGTCTTTAGCAATCTTGGCATTTGAGCGTTATTTTGTGATCTGTCGTCCTCTGAAAAATGTCCGGCTGGGAGTCAAGCATGCAGCTATGGGTCTTGTTTTCGTTTGGACCTTCTCCTTCATCTGGACAATCCCGCCAGTTTTTGGCTGGAGCAGTTATACAGTCAGCAAAATTGGTACCACCTGTGAACCCAACTGGTGAGCTCAAAATACTGTTTCACTGAATCTGCCTACCTTCATTCCTTTATTCACTCACTCTGTTTACCTATTATTTGTTCCTCTCTTGCTCATAGTCTTTCAATCTCTGTCTGTGTTTGTCTGTCATGGCCATGTATGAAGAGAACAACATCCACAATATGATGTTATTGATGAATACTAATGTGCCTTGCACATGTTCCTTAAAGTGACATCATTTGGATTCAGACAAGGAGTTAAAGTCAAGGCTTCTTCCTGTGTGTTATATTGTGACAGAAAAAAAAGAAACCACTTATAAGCCCAAGGCTGATTCCATGCAGCCATCAGTTGAAAAATTGCTTTCAAGAGACTGGTACAAAACATTTGTGGCTGTGGCTATGGTTTGGCCTTGGCCTTGGAACGCAAACAGTGCACAAACAATTGAATAGGGAATGCACACTGACACAGAGAAGACCAAGGATGGGGAATATTTTTACCATTGTGGGGCATAGTTACATCCATGTTGATGTTCAATAGAGTAGTGTAGTTTCTGCAGGTGAGAGCTCTGACAGCTAAACAGTAAATGTAAGTTTGTAAATGTTGGTTTCTATTCAGTCTCAGTGATCCAAATTTTGACACTGCCTTGAGCTTGCAGGTGCTTATTACTCAATTATGTTGCAATGTTTGTTTGGACCAAACAAAGCACTTCACAAAGCACACTAAGCATATTATGCAATTGTAAAACATGTACATGTGCTCTTAATGTTAAAGATTTGTGCACAACTCATTATTATCCACGCTAATGTTTGTGCTCAAATGGTGTGTTCAAGTCCTCCTGGGAAGTTTGTATTTATCAGTTGGGATGTCATAATTATGAAGTCAAGTGCATTCGAGTCACTTTAGTCGGAGCAAGATGGTGATGTACATGTACTTAAAAAAAAATCACCTTTAAACTCTAAAAAATTAACTCTACTTTAAAAAAGTGATATAAAAGAATGTAAGAATGTGCATAAGGTGTGTTTTTGCTTTTTAAAAAAAAATCTTTTGATTTAATTTATGAAGATGCTGCATGATGCTATCATATTTTGTACATCCAATTATGCTAGTTTTATTGTAAAAAAAACCAAAAACATAATTTGAACAAAGTTACCATAAATACAGACTGCTTCCATTGCACATATTTTCTCACTGACACGACCTCAACTCGGAAACTTGGGGTTTAAAGAAATATTTTCCTCTTGTAATTACAACTTTGTGGTGCCATTCATTTGCATTCAACTCGTAAATATGGTCTTTTTCTGACATGACTTGAACACACCAAAAGTACCTGCTAGATGACATTTAGGAAAAATTGAGGAGGTCTAAAGTCTCTGTTTTTTTAAGGTACTCAACTGATTACTACGACCACACCTACATCATCACCTTTTTCGTTACGTGTTTTATCCTTCCTCTTGGTGTGATCATTATCTCCTATGGCAAACTTATGCAGAAACTCAGAAAGGTTGGTAATATACTCTTATGTTGATTTTCATTTTTTGTTTCATAGCAGATATAAATGAATAAAGAGGAAAAAAACTTGGTAACACTTTACAATAAGCTTTTCATTCGTTAACATTTAGTAACTAACATAATCTAACAATGAAAATTTTTTCTAAAGCATTTTTTTTTCATTCCAACATTTACTAATACATTTTTAAAATCAAGAGTTGTAGGCCTACCTATTAATGTTATTTAATGGACCTGAGCTGACAGGACTAACAGTGAAACGTTAAAAATGAATAAATACTGTAACAATATATTGCTCGTTGTTAGTTAATGTGAGTTAATGCATTAAATGTAGTAAAAAAATTGAACCCTATTGTACAGTATTACCAAAAACGGAATAAAACTGGCAAAACAACAGAGAAGCTTTTGAGGTTCTGTCTGGAGTGCCTAATGCACATTAACATTAACTTACTCTTGGACTGCATTTAATCTTAGAACTCTAATATGTTTAATAGGTGTCGAACACTCATGGAAGGCTGGGTAATGCGCGTAAGCCTGACCGAGAGGTGGCGAGGATGGTCATTGTAATGATAGTTGCGTTCATGGTTGGATGGACACCATATGCAGCATTCTCAATTACTGTCACAGCCTGTCCCACAATTCATATTGATCCTCGCCTGGGCTCAATACCGGCCTTCTTCTCAAAGACTGCAGCTGTGTACAATCCCATCATCTATGTCTTCATGAATAAGCAGGTATGTCTTTGCCATTTGTCATCCTTATCTGGCATTTTCGGATCACTTACACATTTTATTAAAAAAGTTTAGGGTGCCACGCTGAGAAAAAATCTGAAGAGAGGCTTTTGTATTTTATATATTAAGAATCGATTTGTAGTGTTTTTATGTTTTTATGCCATCAATCAATAAAAGACAGAAAAGCAACAAGGAGCAAAGACAGTAAATCTTACATGGCATATATAAGGTACAAAATTAAACAGCAAAATCACCATGTGACAGCTAAACACATAAGTATTATTTTTTTAAAATAAAATATGAATATACAATATGTATAAAAACATGTATATGAGTATATCTTTTTTTCTTTTCTTTTTTTTGGGGTTATTTTAGCTGTCTTGTCAGAATTGACTATGCTTTACTAGAAAAGCCATTGCATGAGCAGGTGGTCTGAACTTTTTTTCTTTCATCATATGTCAGCAACAAATCACAGACATCTGATGCTCTTTACTCTGACAGTTTTGGTTGAGGAGATTCCATTTTTCTTAGTTCAAAGGTGTATTATATATTCAAATTTAATGTTAAAATTCACAGATGTATTATGTTCCATATATTCCCATTGAAAAGTGTTGTATATCTCTCGAGTAGGGATGCACGATATATCGGCCACCATATCGGTATCGGCCGATAAATGCTAATTTTTTCTGTTATCGGTATCGGCCTGATAAGAAAATTTGGCCGATATCTTAAAGCCGATAAATAATCTCTCGAGTTATAAATCCACCTCAGGAAATGTTTGGGTGCTATAGCTTTTCAAAGGGGAGGTCTTAGGTCCCACAATTCAATTGCTTCAATTGCTTTGTTGTCCTGGGCCTGGTTTAAACCTCTGACTATTACCATTTTAAAGATGTTCTGTATTCTCAGAGGAGTTGCATATTATGAGTGATACAGTCGGCACAGTTGCTCCATGATATCTTTTTTTTTTTTTTTTTTTACATATACATTAAGCTCGTAGGAAGATTTCTCCTCAGTGTCCCTGTAGTGTGCCATTTGATGTAAAGGGCGAAGCAGTGATCTTTTGTAGTCATGTGACTCTGATGACCACCCCTAGGATGTGGGTCCCAGGTGGTTTGGAGCGTAGGCTGCTGGACCCCCTGAGCTGTGGACATCTTCCAGAACTAACCCAATTCCTTCCCAGCTGTTCCCAGAATATATTCAGGTCAAGGGTCACAGGGTCGCAAATTTCTCTGATTTGAGAGAGAGAGAGAGACAGACTATATTATGGAGACACGAGAACAAACACTCAAGAGTGAGAATAGGGATGGTTTATATAGCATCGGTAATGCTGCATTGTGTTTGTTTTGATATTTCAAGAGCTCTTGAGCATATGGAGAATCCTACAAAAATTGAACATATCATATATAGGCTTTTTTATTGAGGTTTGCTGTTATTTGGTGTATTCAATAAGAATGCAAAGTTGATTGTCAGTCTTTTCTGACATGGATCATATATAGAGTTGATAGATTCGAAATATAATACGGCTAGATTTTATTGTCTTTTTCAGTTGTCCTGGTATAATCAAGTGTTAGTTATTATGCATTAGGTAACATGAACTAACAATGAATAATATTTTTTTAGTATTTATTCATCTATTTTAATGTTAATTCATGAATATACAATTGTTCATATTTGTTTATAATATATTACTGTTAATTTATGTACAAATTGTAATATTAAATGAAATATTAAAAGGTATTAGCTGTAAAAGTATATGAACTTAGACTAATAAATACTGTAGATGCTTTGCTCATTTTTAGTTCATAACAAAATGAACATTATTGTAAAGTGTTATCGTGCTTAATCTAACATTTTAACAGCTTATGTTGTTGTATAAGCAGTTAAAGTTTTCTGTGACTTTCCATTTCAGATCAGTGCAGTTTGTCTTTGTACCTTCTGCTTGTATTATTCTGTAAATGTATACCGACCGTAGTGTTTCTCTGCATTACAAATTTGACCAAGAGAGTAGCTGGTATTATAATTACCCATGGTACCTAATTTTCATCCAGTCCAACCAAAACCTTGAGGAAATGAATATATTTACTTCTCATGACCTTATCTGCTTTAATTAAGGTCAAAATGTCCTTGTTTTTACATAGAATACATCTTGCTTAATGACCTTTTCCTCGTTTCAATGCAGAAGTTGTGCAAAGGTCTAACTACTGAAAACAAATTTCTACATGGCGGCACAGAGACTGGAAATATTAATCAAAGCGTTTCTTTTGAGTTCATAAGAAGCATAATTAATAGCATAATTAAAATTGCGCAATTTCTTTGTATGTGTGTGTCATTTCTTTGATATGGAAAGACCATGATCCTTATTTACATTGAATCCAACATTCTTTCTCTCAGTTCAGGAAGTGCCTGATCCAGATGTTTAAAGGAAATGTCACCAATCTGGACTCCACCAATCTGAACCAGACATCAGACAAAGGGGCCATCACTGCCACAGCAGAGAGTCACCTTGGAGAGATGTCCACCATTGCAGCTCGCGTGCCTATGTCCATGTGCAACATGGAGAAGAGTGAGGATGAAGGGGAAGAGTCAGAGCAAAGCGGGAATGAAGGTCCAAAGCAGCTCCCTTTATCGGATAGTCGAGTGTGTCCTTTGTAGAGAAGGACTAGTCTGTCTGAATAAATGTATACCTTTAATCTTACCTGTTGTCTAACTAAAGCATAAATCCTACAGTTGTTACCTCTATTGGAATGCATATGTTAGAATGTATTGTTTGCGTTTTCACACGTTCCTTGTTTGTTGTTCGTATTTCTTTATGTTGTGGCGATTTGCAGTCTTGGTGTACTGTGTACTTGTCGGTATTGCGATATTACCTTACATAAACATGAAGGAGGCAGGCAATACATTTCCATACTGTCCTCTGAATGAACGCTATTTGTTTTTCTGATCGGTCTCCTCTCACTACGGTATATTTCTGATTGCACACTAGTACCAGTGGGGATGTTTTGTTTGTATGTTTTAATGGCAACTGAAATGAAAGAACATAGTATTGCAATAGCTTTCAGGTCAGAATGCTGACTTTCATTTTATATTCATTAATAGTCTACTTAAAAAAGATATTGGTTCAAAAACCAAAGGAGAAAGTGATCCTTCGTTGTTGAGATAAATCGGGACTATTAAACTATCACTCAGCTTGTGATATTTGCTCCTCTCCCGGCTTCTTCTGGTTGGACCGCTGTTTTAAAACGGACATTAATGAGCTGCTCTGTATAACAAAATCTAAACCTGACCAAAGACGGTCATTCTAGTGCATGTTTACATAGAAAAAAACAAAACAATAAAAGCTCATCTACACATCTCAGAATCTTACACAAACTGCTGTTTGATATAACAATTAATTTAGTGAACTAACGGGTCAAACAGGTTTGGCAGGGTATCTGCTTTGCAATATAGTAATAAACCATGCAATTAACATCCTCATCTGACAATTCAGTTTCTTGTCTATTGTTGAATTTGCAGTCTTGTTTTGAAAGGTTTAATGACGCAAGAGTGTTTATCAAATTGTATTTATTTAGTAGCCTTTGTACACTTTGGTGTATTATTGCTTGTGAGTTGAATGAACTGTCTGAATGTCTTATTAGGCCATAATGTGCGTTGTTTGCTCACAATTTCTGTCCAAACTGAATATTGATAATTGATGTTTGTCTGCGGCATGCCAAGTTTTACTTGTGTATTGTTTTTCAATGTCTTGGAGTCATTTAGATTTGGTGTCGTATTTCAATTAATGATTTTTCAAATTTATTTTTTAAAACATGTCAGTGTTGTTGAACACTAATAAAACAACTTGCAATAACTTTCCAGAATGGTCACTACTTATTATAGTTCAACACAGAGGCACATTGTGAATCAGTAATGAATATACAGTGGGTACGGAAAGTATTCAGACCCCCTTAAATTTTTCACTGCAAATCCAATGTGTTTATTCATATTTTTATATCACACAAAGAAACCTGAAATAACACAGAATCTTTGAGATGAGTTTTGAGTGCTGTAGGCTCCCTTAAGCTCAGAAGCACTCTTTCAACATCAGACTGGTGAATGAAAACATCTGAATTCAATTTCTCCTGGCCACGGTTTGTTATCACCCTGGGTAGTGAGAGTAACCAAGTATCAGAGCACAGAAGAAGATTTATCAACAGAGGGCCACCATGCTTGTTCTCACTCATGAAGTAAAAAGTCAGAGGAGGTGAACAATTTTGGCCTGGAATCTTAAAGGAATAGATTCCAAAAAAAAAAACAAAAAAAAATGCTGAAAACGTACCCTCAGGCCATCAAATATGTTTAGCATTACATCACTTGCACACCAATGGATCATCTGCAGTGAATGGGTGCCGTCAGAATGAGAGTCCAGACGGTTGATAAAAACATCACAATAATCCACAAGTAATCCACACAGCTCCAGTCCATTATTAACTTCTTTTGAAGTGAAAAGCTGCATGTTTGTAATAAACAAAATCCATAATTTTAATGTCAAACTGTCACTTCTGGCCAAAATTCCAGTATATATATAAAAAAAATTCCTCCTCAAAAAAAAAAAAAATTCCATCCCCTGTTGTCCTATCACATCAAAATCCACATACATAGTTGTTCAGCACTGTTTTGGACTGTTTGATCCATGCATTTTTCTCTTCTGATTCAGACGAGACAACTTTTTCACTGGAGAAAGCAATGATTAGAGGAATCATATTTAGGCAGAAGCAACAGTTTGAAGTTAAAAACCCCTTAATAATGGATTTGTTAATTACAAACACGTAGCTGTTAATTGATGGACTTGAGTCATATAGATTACTTGTGGATTATTGTAATGTTTTTATCAGCTGTTTGAACCTCAGCTGTTCTGATGGCACCCATTTACTGCAGAGGATCCACTGCTGTAATACTAAATGTTTTTCAAATCTGTTTCAAGTCATATATTGGATGGCTTCATTGGCCTGAGGGTGATTAAATTTCCAGCAGATTTTGGGTAAACTATTCCTATAAATCCTATGTCACCTATATCAGCAACAAAGACAACAATGTTTTCTTCAAACTCAGAGCTTATGGTAAATACATCATACAGCAGATGAAAGTGGCCTCAGCAATGGGCATGAACAAAGATGTCTTCTGAACAAAGGTACCTTTCCCCTAAAGCATTAGCAGACATTCCAAGGCATTTGATCGGACTTATGAATTTCAAATATTATTCCTAGTATGTCACACAATTCTGTGTGATCAATGACAATTACAAAGACCTCAAGATTAAAGTAGATGGGTTTAAAAGATGACATTTTTGCAGTGCTTTTGAGCCCTTGATGTGTATCAGTGATATAGTCATTAAAACAGTGTGAATACATCATGCCCTATAGCATATACATTTTTTATGTGACATATACATCATAAACATTCATGTTACTATCCTCAGGGGATAGTTTGTGTGTGTGTGTTAAACATTAATAGAAAGAGACAGAAGATATATATATCCACCTAGTTTAAAAAAAAAATAATGCTGTGCTATAACACGAACATTAGGTCAGATCTTATCACTTCGAACTTATAAGCGTACCCATAATACAACAGGTTTTCACACTGAAATATCTATAGATTTAGTCACACGTATAAACGTGCCTGGCAAAACAAGAAATGAAACATATATGGTTGGATTTTCATTGCATCTTTACAAGCATAAAATAATTCTTTAATTGCTTTAATTGTTTTTAATAAATTTTTGCTTGTTACAGTTGATAAATTGCTTGTTACAGTTGAATGATGACCCAGTGATGCAGTTCCCTTTGTTAGAATATTACGCAAACCACCTAAATATGCATGGAAATACTGTACATGGCTACAAAATCTTTTGGTATTTTGGTTTTACATTATTATTTTGTCTTGAAATGTTGAATTTTGACCATGTCTTTGTCTCATTTCTATGTTAATTTTCTGAGCTTGTATTCTTCTGTGAAGGTTTCAGATTGATATGAATTTCAAGATTTCTTGCTATAGAAATGTGCAGTGCCTGAGGTGCTCTGCAGTTACAATTCATCGGGCATGCTGAACTTTTTTGGTGGGAACAACTAATAGGAAATCTCCAAAGCAATGTGATAAGAACAGGCTTAGCTTGGTCACGAGGCCAACATGCCTGTTTATACAAACAGCAATGAGGTGACTGTAGGGCTCACTTGAAATGAATTACTATCTGCAATTTTCTCTTTCATTTGAAGGAGATCATTTCATTTGGAATGTCATGTGTGTATTTTTCATGCCATTTAACACACAGTATCTAATTTGTGAAATCATCAGTAAAAAGAAAACAGTGTTGCCGGGAATTCTAATTTGCGACTTGCAAAAATTATAAATGTCTGTTAACAGTCTAGATAGCATTTTACATGATACGTCAGACTATATTGCTGCTTTATTAAATTAAACAAAACTGTTTTGCCTAATAAGCAATTAAATGGGAATGGGATTTGTAGTCTTAGCATGTAATCAGCTCTCAAAGCAGAACAAATAAGATATTTAAAACTAAAGACTGATTTATTTTTTTTCTTTATGGTAGACTAAGAACATCTTGTATGCACAGAAACAGCCCTTGGGGTCCCCATATGAGGAAAAGCACATCTGTCCTATATAAACACACTTTTAAATCTGTGCAGGAATGTCTTATATGAGGTAAAATTAAACTTCAGATGTGCACAGATATATGGCAATTCCAATCCATAAAACATAGAGGAGTCAGCAGCATTTAGCCAAACTTAATATTCCTGAAATATTCTATAGTACATGCACATAAGTTAGTTTAAAATTAAAAGTGTGTTTTTGTAGTTTACACAGATATTAGAATGGTATCATTTCTAAAAACTTTAAACTTGTTTTCAAATGTTTGCCTTTTCAGGCCCCCAAAACGCTATTGTCATGTGAATAAACAGGCAAAATGCATACATTTTTTTTCCATATTTAGTTGAAAACTGTCGTGAATTCCACAAGATACAGTGTTGCCATGGACGATGGTGAGTTTTGACCTTATTCAGGGTATAGCACCATATTTACTTTTTGACAGAAATGAAAATGAGGCTAAGAGAGATAGAAGTGCAGTGCGTTCAATGGATCGTACTGTTGTTAAACAACACCTATTGTTCAACTAATGAAACATCTTTCTGAAAAAAAACTCAGAAACATAGTTTTGTGTTATTATGAGTTATGAAAAATATGGGTTATAGAATCCTTCTACAGTGCGTGCCATTGTAAAGAATGCAAGTATATCCTTCACAGCCCCGTTTTCATCCTCGTCTATCCTGGTGTATTATAGAAAGACTTTAATATTAGGAAATATCTGAACATCAAACGCCTCAGGTGACCAATCAGAATCAAGTAGCTTATTCCATAGAGCCATGTGATAACGTATAATGTTCCATTCCTGAGAAGATATTAAATTAAATGTTTACCGTATAATTGACCATCCATTATTATCTGCTCTTCTCTGTTAGATTATGGTTTCTGCTTGAATTGTGAAGATTCATAGCCTACTAATGAACATCTCAGATAAAGGTTCCAAGTTCACTATACAGAACAATGAGAGCAGGCACTAGTTGATCTTCACCTCACCCCAATCTGCATTTGTCCAACAGCTGAAATGCAGGCTAATTAGATAACACTCAAAACAATCAGTGATAAATTAAGAATCACATAAAAAGGATTCTGAGGTAGATTAATGAGGAGTGGCTCATGTAAATTTCCTGTTTTAACTTCTCATTGAACTTTGCTGAGGAAGTCACAGAGGACATTGTTAGTGCCGTCAACTCAATTACCTCTCATCATAGCTAAAAAAAGAAAGAAAGACACACGGTGAGAATAGGCTAATTAATCCAATAATGACAGTACGTGTTGAAATGTGACCCAAATGGATGATGATGTGATAAGAAAGTAATGCATACTGACACCAGCATGTTATTTTTTTTATTATTTTTTTTACATGATTTACTCAATAATGAATCCATCCTCTGCTTCAAAAGGAATATAATTTACATAGCTGGTGTTTTGATATTCTCTGTGCAATCCTCTGTTGGTCTTTCCTACACAAAATCTCCCCCTCCTACTCACAATCTGGCCATTCCACTGCGGGATAATTAGTGCCAAATTGTGGACTTTAAAAATGTAGAAAGAAATGGGATGAGAATCCCGTGGAGATACAAGCAGGCATTGTAATGAGGTTAGCTGGGACGTGAATCAGCATTGGCATGCAGAGATCTGTGAATGAATGTCGACATGAGCCTGTGGTGGTGATGGTGCATAGCCTATATCAACATCATCATCACTGAAGAGGTCAAAAGATAGTCTTGGCTTCAAAAACGGCTCATAAATAAATAAAATAAAGATTTATAAAAATACCCTTAAGGTGCGGACATCTAAAGTCAAGGTTGACATTTCTGTATGTTTCCTGACCTGGCATCGGTGATT